CTCAAACCTCCACACCGTGGTAATGCCCCTACTGTTTTTTTACGACTACTTATTTGTCATAGCCAGCCATGAGTTGTTCGCATTTAACCCATGGTGAGGGTCTCTCTCTCCCTCTGTTTTTAACCCAGGGACGCGCCTGGCAGTGTACAATTACGGAAATCTCTTGCGTTCCGTTGTACCCGGGGTGGCATGTGGGTCTCGCATGATCGTCTATTTCCAGTTAAACACAGTAAGGTAAACTTCAATGATCGCCGCCAAACTCACCAAATGAATAGAAGTATGTAAGACTGATAGATAGAAAGTTGATCTGATTGAGGGTATGAAAAAGCAGTCCTTAATACATTAGGTGCACGGTTCAACTGCATACGCACGTACACATTGATTCCAAAAGTCAGGTCTGCTATAAAATGTCGACAAGGACGCCTCAACTGTCGATTTCCCGTCATCTTTTTCAGTATTTTCAACCAGTTTGGTCTCTCGGGTACCAGTCGATAAACCAAAAATACATTTCACTCAATTATTTCTCTCCACGCGATTCGTTGTCTAGATTGTTGTGCGGTCGACTACTTTTGGGCATGTGCAACACGTGTCCTATCCGTCGGTTTCATGATGGGAACGATTTTTCCATCTAGTCAATTCCAAATGCACGAAGGTGTACCTCGTTGCGTCTAAAACGACCTTCACCGAACCGCGCAACAAATATCGACAGTCCAAGGTCTTCGGTAGAGGCACAATTTCCTCATGCATACGCAAGGCCCATGATCATATATCGGAAGTGAATACATTGTGATGTAGTAAACATGATCTTTCTGCTTCCATAGAACGTCAATTCAGCTCATGTTACCAACGTTTTCGGCAAAAGTTCGAAAACCATCTCTTTGTGCTTACAAGCTCAGGAAACTGGTCGTACCACATAATTTTATTCTTAAATTTGTGATTTTCTTCATCGTTTCACGCTGGTTATACTGCTCCCCGATTTTTATCCACGGACTGAAAGAAGAAGACTTCACTTTATTTTCGAGATCTCCAAAACATTTGTCCCGCTACGGTGGAGTTGGTATAGTTGTTTTAGTTGATTTCTTTATTTGCAAGCATCTTGAAGCTTGTAATACATTAACAGACAGGATAACACATGATCCAGGGCACTCTCTGCACCAAGATATAACGAAAGCCCTGTCAAATCCCCTGACACGCTCCCAATGTCAGCTCCTTCCTGCGCGTACTGCCACTTGCAGAAACAGTGTAATTCCATACGTATCTCGGTTAATCGCCAGAATATTCTCACTCACCTCAGGGAAAAACTCTTGTACTAGTCTTTCTCTCATTAACTAAAGTGCATCTTTTCTTATATTGTCCTTTGTTTGCAGTTGGTTCTATCTATCCATTGTAAAACGCCGTAAATTGCTGAAAACTCACCCTTTGGGTGAATAAAGCTTTTCATGACTTGACAAAGTTATCCTAATCCGTCCTGTACTTATTGAGCCTCAGAGGTGCGTACGGTCACTGTTTTATTCTGGTATCGTCATTCGTCACGCACCTGTCTCATTGGGGAAAGCAATAAATCAGAGCCAATGTTCGAGCAATGGCCTTCAAAATAGGTGTGAGTGATTTCATCTAGGCTGTTTTTTAGGTACTACTCACATCTGTGAGTAGTTCATTTTTGTGCACGCACAAAGAAGCGATTGTTGGGTTTACGCGGCATCTGCGAGTGTATTAAAGGATTTATTTTTGTCAATATAGAATAGACAAGCAGAATGTCGGGCTGATAATCACTATTGAAGGGACGTTCAGGAAAATACAAACCAATTGTTGCGAATTAGATGTTTCGTTCTGTGTAAACTTATTTGACCTTATCCTCAACCCGGCATTTGAATTTGGGATTACCACGTTTGGCGCCGTCGCCAAAATGAAGGTGTCTTCGCCTGCAGCGTTTAAGGATTTAGACGTGCAGACCCTTCTGGAGGAATTCTAGGTCGGACCCGCGTCAGTTGACGGCCCTCCGTGCGCTTCCCAAGGGTTATACGCAAGCAGTGTTGGATGCAGCGCAAATGGGCCCGGAGAACATGGAGTGGGCCGCTGCGAAGAACAACCCCATCTCCGGATTCGAAACCACGGCCGACCATCAGGAGGCATTTCTGCGCACAACGGTGATCTCGAGCTTAGATTTCTTGGAATCAAACACCTGTATACCAACAAATCGTTGGATGAAACGCGGCCCAGTAAAAAACTACTCTAAGAGACACTGAATGCAAAATAGGGCACATGGGTATATAGTTGACATCGGAGCAGAGCAGCGAGTGCAGTGGTGCAGTGTAGGCCATCAACACGTATTTCAGATACTATTTTGCTATCCGACCGAACGGAATCCTAACCATTGACATAATTGTTTTGCATGTTTTCAATAGGCTATCTCCAACGAGAAAAAAGCCCAAGTTTGCTTTCAGCTAACACGATACCGATGATGCATATATCCTCCCGTAAAATGATACTCAATACAGACATACGGTTGATTGACTCAGTCACTTGCAGTTTACAATTTTCCCGCCGGATGTATCTTGGATAGCACTTGTTCATTGGATCGGCAAATAGCGTAACTTTGAAATTCAATAGCCAAAACTTCATTGAAGGCATTAAAAGGCAGTTATTGATATCCACTGATTCGAAGAGTTGTGTGCATTTGTTAAAAAGCATCAGCTACCCAGACGAAAAAGGCAATGGAATCTTGGAGAAATATGGCTGTTCGAAACAATCTATGCAAGGGATAATTAATCTAACGATCAGTTTAATTTGGAACTTTATACTGTCAATACGACACTATAGGTAAAAGTGTCGTCCTTCATTCATAGCAATATTTGCTGACAGTGAATTGCCAACTGTGAATTAACTAGCTCTCGGTCAGCATATCTTTGATACAAGGAAGTTCTGTTTACTGTGAATTAAACTCAAACATTTTCCGGAATCACCTAGAATGTGCGTCACGTATTACGTAGCTTGTTCCCGTTCATGCATAACAACAACAAAAATGTAAACAAATTTGTTGGTATTGGTGTGTTCTCCGAGAGCTGAACGTGTTGTTCGTAGACGTTTCTTTGCCAGGTAGGCATCATTATCAGTGCCTAGCCTGGTTATGAAACGTCTGAGAACAACACTTCCAGCTCTTGGAGAGCAGATCAACATCCGCATCCCGAACAACAATCGCCCCACGTCCTTTCCAATAAAAAGAAGTTTCTTTTCGATGAATCGTTTCAGGA